TCCATTCATTCATTGTCAGAACTAAACTAACCATACTGCATATGCAAGAAATACTGTCCGTAACCCAAGTTCAAGCTAGACCAGGAGGTGACGTTTAATGAAATACTGATCACACATAAAAAAGCAATAATGTAAAAGTACTTGCACTTCACTTGAAGATATGTCACATACTTGTACTTAAGTACATTTCCAAAGTACTTGACCCATCTCTGGTAGGCATGTTGCCAAGTTGATCTTGTATCTTACTACAATAGAACTATCACACTGGGTGAACTCTCCTGTGAATGTTTTTTATTTGTTTGTTTGTGGATAAACTGGGGCATCATGAGTAATTAGTAAATCTAAACACGACAAAAATTTGTCAACGAATGCCACGACTTTAACTACCCAAGAAATGTTGAGAACTCAGCAAAGCATGCCACTTGACAATTGTAAATTTTTCTTACATTTACCCGGAAAATTTGTCAAATATGCGATGTATAAAAGAATCCTACTTTCTCTGTGCATTTGAGAACAGTAGTAACAGTACGAATTTTAATATTGGGAACTTAGCTTTAGCTAAAAAGTCATAATTTTACCTGATTATATATTTTATGAAGCCTATAAAATAAATGAATTAAATTTGACGGCCCTAGATGACACAACTGAGTGTAGCTTCATCAGGTAACTCAAACATTATTGAAGTGAGTGGTTCATGCCATGGCTGGAGGCAAGTTGTATAAAAACTACTAAAAAATTTATGAAGTGTAATGACAGGTTATTTTAGATTATTTAAGAAAACAATGCCCAGTCCATGTAATGATCATATTTGCTATAGCTACATTCAGTTGTTGGACTACTTTTGTAAATAAAGTTCTTAATATAAGCTTGAAAACTATTATAATATAATATGTTACAGATTCTTTTTTCAATTTCACCTCTGGTGCAAAAGAAAAGAAATCTTTAACACATATATATATATATATATATCTATAATATAACCATTACTTGAAATATGTTTTAACAGAAATTTCAAACATTTTGGTATACCTAACTTCTTTATAGCTATAACTTTACTTGTACAATTCCTCACTAATCAATCACAAATATGCTTATTCACAAACTAGCTAACTAAGTAGATCACAGATGACATACTTTTTCACTGAGTTGAATATTTTTCAAACTGAACTATCTGTGTATATTTATTGTGCTTATATTTCTACAAAGTACAAAGACTTCACAATTCCTAACTTTCATGAGCCTTCTAAATTACATCGCTTTAAAGACATATAGCTCCTGGATTATGAAATCCCCTGAACAATGCTAGTGCACAAAACTGTTTATTCATCAAGTCATTTGGATGGTTTTCTTCCCAAAGGGTTATTGTATGCAAGTGAGATGACAACTCATCTCATATTTTCACATGTTGTCCAATCACTGGGGAAAGTTCTCTTCAGGTAAATGGTTGAGCAATTCCACTAGTGGCTCTTTCTGTGGAAGCGGTCTCAACAGGAACCCTAGATTTATCAGAAGGTTGACTTTCTGCTTGTAAATTCTACTCAGGGTTGGATGACCATTTTTCTCAGACCACCTGCTCTTATGGAATCTGCAAACCACATTATTGATTCTTTATGGTACAACACATTAGGCTCTTCCTAATGCTTGCTTATTTTTTGAATTCCTCTTTTCTCTTAATGGGGATTGTACAGCTATACCATATCACTTAGATGGTTTGTTTGTTTGAATTTTCTACAAAGCTATTTGAGGTTTGTCTGCACTAGCCATCTCTAACTTTGAAGTGATAAACTAGAGGGGAAGCAGCCAGTCAACACCATCTACCACTAACTCATGGGCTATTCATTACTAACAAAAAATGTGATTGACTGTCACATCATAACACTTTGAGGGTGAAAAGGGAATATGTTCAGTGACATGATTTAAACCCATGAACCCACAGATTGTAAGTTAAGGACCCTAACCACAGGCTATCACCTAAATAGAATCCAATCTTATACACATTAAATCATACTGACTTTACATTTTATCACCAGCTGATTTACATCTTTCCATGATAGTCATATGACATTACTAGTGTTCTTTAGTCTCTCTGCATATTCTGTGTAATACTGCTGTGTGACTAACCTCCAGACAAGAGGGATGAAGATCTCTGTTCCTCATCCTTTTCATTACAAGTGTCTGACACATTTCCATAAACAAGGTTGATTAAAGTTCTGTTCCCCATCTCAGTGAAATTCCATAGGCACCCAATTCTTGGAAACAAATTGATGAGTTTCCTTACCAGCATTTCTGTTTCCTGGTTAGGAACAGCATATTATTTGGGCCAGTTGATAAACTTTTGTCCCCATTCATAATGAAGAAAATGAATTAAGTATCAAATAACATTTAGTAGCTCTTTCCAAGTTGTACAATACCTAATTTCTGCAGTATTTATTGCCTTTCTGAAGCAGGCAGTTATATTCATTTCTATTTTGAACTTTTGATAATTGCTTCCACAGCAAATCTAATGACAGGACATTCAAGTTTGGTATCGAAATGAAGCAGTGGTGATTAATTTGTTCTTTAATTTCTTGAATGCTTGCTCATAATCAGCAGTGTAACAAAATATATTTGGGTTTTTAAGTAACCTATGTAGAGAATGTTATATCAGAAAATAATTTTTGAAAACAACCACAGTAAGAACATAGACCAAGACATCCTCTTATCTCATGCATGTTCTGTAGTGCTGATCAATTTTGAATTGCTTCAGAGTTAGTTGAGTCTGTAGATATTCCCTCTCAATTGATCATGTGTTCCAAGAAACTCATCTGTTGATGAAACAATTATCATATGGTTCTCTTTCCTCAATCAATCTAGTACTTTCTTCGTTAGCCTATCACAAACATCATCAAAGGTTCTCCCATCTGTGATTATGGCATCCAAATTGGTGATTACAATATTACAAGGTAGTCCAGAGAGAATATATTACATAAGTTACTGAAACATAGCAGGTGCATTACATAATTTGAATGGTAACACATAATTCACAACCACCCATTTCCTGATGTATAGGCTGTCTTTCCTCTACTTGTTTTAGCAACGTACATTACTAATATCCACTCTTCAGATTCAATGCTGAAAACATTTTGATCCAGATAAAACAACCAAAGTAGAGTCAATCTTTGATTGTGGGTATGAATCTTTCTTTGTAACTGCATTCATCTTTCAATAGTCTATACAGAACCTTGTGGATCAAACTTTCTTACCCAGCACAATAGATTATGTCCAAGGACTAATATTTGGTTCTATTACTTTGTTCTTTTACTGTTTCTATCTCTGAGAGCCTCAGCCTGTTTTCTAACTGGAAGTAATCTGGAAAAGTAATGTATTAGGTCTGCATCTTGAGTATCAATGTAATGAGATATTTTATTTGTATATCTTAAGTATCAATGTAATGAAATATTTTATTTGTTTATCCTAAGTATTAAAGTAATGAGATATTTTATTTGTATATCCTAAGTCATGAGGCTCACTGGAAAATTACTTTGGCATTCCAAGAGCAAATCATATAATCTAAGGCACTGATAAACAGCACCAGTCTTGTGAAGAGATAAGTTATCTTTCTGTGAATGTTTGAAAACAGACGTCTTATATCTTGTCTCAAAGATGACTACTTCTGATATCCTGTGATATACTACCTGCACAATGCCACATTTTGACATGTTTGGTTGTCCTAGTCACTTGATGCAAATTTATTCAAAATAAGTCCTGGTATGAGTATTTCCCTTCTTGGTGGCACAATTACTATCCTCCTTGTTGTAATTGTTAGATAGTTGACAGAGATTTCCTGGGGAAAGCTTAGGAAACAGTTTTAAGTAAGTCTAATCTCATAACCATGTTTCTGCATGAAGTCTACTCCCAATATGTACTCTTTTTTTTTATATCAGTTGCCCACACATCATGTAATGCAGAGAAGTTTCTCAAAGTAAGGATGACTTCCAATATTACTCAACCTGGAACTTTATGTCTGTTTGCTTTTCAAATAGCCTTCTTTCATCATCCCTAGAGACAATTTCCCATCATTGAGTACCAGATCAGGTCAAATACTTGTAGATGCAAAACTAGTATTGATCCACATTGTACAGAGCTTCTCTTCAATATATCCTTTGAATCTTGGACTGGTTTTTATTTACATAATGAACTTCCTATCTCATTTGGAGCAAATGGAGTATTCTCAACTATAACTTGCCCAAAGACTAGCTAATACCTGTTTTCCAATGTCTGGTTGGCTCTTTGTTGTTCCTTTGATCTGGCTGGGGTCTGGAACTTATCCTTAGAGCATTGTATCTCTGTTTTATTATCATCTGTTGATTCCATACACTTATAACAGTTCCTCTTTGACACCTGTTTATTCTTCATTTGAAACACCTATTTTCTTGTGATAAATTCTTCCATCATGTTCAACTAGTTGTCTAATTAATTCTTACAGTTCTTCTAAATTATCATCAGAGGGAGTTTATGTTTCCACACTATTTGATTTGATTATCCCTTAACTCCTTGAATAGTGCCTTTAGTCTTTTAACTACAACTTTAATCATCAATTCAAAAGCACCCTTTGATTGCCTACTAATAAATTCATCATAGCACCACATTCCACATTTTTAACATGTTTGACTAAAGTCTCATCTTTACTCCTGACTCTGCTGCTGAATATTGCTTTGGAAACTTCTTTGTCATGTGTCATTTCAAACTTGTTTGTTAAAGCAGGCACCAATGCATAATTCACTTTACAGCTTATCTAATATATTCATGCAGTTATGTAAACAAAATTAAAATTTTATTTCTTTATCACTTGTATTTGTTATTATTAAAATTTTCACTAAAAACAGTATCATAATCAGCAATTCATGTCACACATTAATATTAATATAATAATTGCATATTATAGTTTGGTTTCAATACTTTATAAATTAAAATACATATAGAAATACACTAAGATAGTTGTTGATAATTTTAAATTCTGTCTTTTAAAAATAATTCTTACCTTTAGTGTGCAGCATATATTTATGTTACTAGTTACTTAATATTTCTTTCTCTTAATTTTATCTTAAGAATACTAACTCTCCTGACTTGTTCAATTTGCATGGTTGGACATATTGAAATCTATTCACCTATGGCCTAGTTATTTACCATCAACTTTCGAACAAATTACAAAAATCCAGACAGCATCTAAACTTTGTCATTGGCTTAATTCTGGTTTTTGAACAAAATTCCTGTACCATATTTTTCAACTGTATAATAATGATAGGGTTATGACAAAAAGAGGTGCATCTACACTTCTGCACAAAATCAAATACACAGATCAGATGAGTATGAGAAGCTATACAGCCTTATACCTTTTTACACATTTCCAGACATCTAACTTTGTCACTGGCTTAATTCTGTATTTTTTTTTTAAATGTTCTCTTATAGTTTGTAAGTGTATAAAAACCATGTGGTTATATCAAAAAGTGGTGCATCTACACATTAAACTACACAGACCAGATGAATATGATAAGTTGTATAGCCTTATAGCAGATGATATATTATTCTTAGTTAACTGCAACATACTTGAATAATTTTGTTGCAGACAAGAATCTTGGTTGCTTGGAATGGACTAAACAACCAGTGTTTTAGTATAATGGAAAACAAAATGTAGCTCGTCTTGTTAACCACTGTTGTGTACAACCTCAACAAGATTAAGGGTAGTTAAGTAAACTACACCCTGTTTAAAATGACACAAATAAATAATGAAAGTACAATAAATTCTGATAAATTTTGTGAATATACCAAAATAAAATGTATACTTATTCTAAGCTATGAAAGGAGTAAAGCTGCAGTAGCTTTAGGTACATACATTTCTCTTTCTTACAAAGAATCAGATTTCTTCTGGATTACTTCAAGTAACAAAATGCATATGAACATTGGCATATTTTCTTATGTTTTAAACCAAGTTGTTTTGCAAAACTTCAATATATAATAAATAAATAAATAACTATCAACATATATTGTTCAATACATTGCATTATGTCAGCTTTAGTACCCTATCCTTCACTACTAACAATGTACAAGCTTATTTTCTATGTAGAACAAAAAAGATCTTAAAAATGCTGAAAACTGGTTATTGAGCATAAGATCATATTTTTGTGATAAAAGTATTTTACTTGTGTTAATCATTAAGATACTGTAAGAAATTATTCTGCCCTGTTCAGGTCCAAACCTTGGTTTAAAATTTGAAGAAAGCAGATAGCACAGACTTCATAACAAGGAAATACTAAAAAGTTTTTCTTATTATTATTAACACACACTTAAGTATATTAACTGCTAAAATCTTGTACAACTCAGTAAGAATAAGAATGAAACATTTTAAGATTTTGGAGTTAGTTGTAAGCAGTATTCAAACTGAAATGTTAACACACACCAAAACCTCTTCATATTATTCACATTTCACATGTGGACATATATATGTTTGCACAATATTTTCAGTCTTTATTACAATTACTGCCACAGACATACACACATATACCATCATCCTCGTTTAAAATAACAAATATCCCTCTTCACCTTGTCTTTACTTATGCAGAATTACTTCCATTTAGTCTAAAAATTACATTAAGTGAAACATAATTAATTGTTAATTAACTGGATATACATCTATACTGCTGATTTATTCTCTAGCATGGATTTTCCTATGTTTTTTTAAACTTTTCTTTGTTTTTAACTCCTTTCTGCACAAATCACAATTGTATTTCTGCCCAGTGTGGATCTCCTTGTGCAATTTCAGAGTTGATTTCTGAGCATACTTCTTGCCACACACATCACAAGTATATGGATTCTGCCTGGTATGGTTTTCCTGATGTGATTTCAGAGTTGATTTCTGAGCAAACTTCTTGCCACAAAGATCACAATTATATGGATTTTGTCCAGTGTGGACTACCATATGAGATTTCAGATTTGAATTCAGAGTAAACCCAAGGCCACATAAATTACAACTGTATGGTCTCTCCCCAGTGTGAGTCTTCTCGTGTAATTTTAAATGTCCCTTTTGTTTAAATTTATTGTCACAAAAACTACAACTATATGGTCTAACCCCTGAGTGAATCCTCTGATGTTCTTTTAAAGTATCTTTACGCCTAAACGTTTTACTACATACATCACAACTAAATGGTCTATCTCCAGTATGAATGACATAATGACTTTTTAAGAATGAATTTCTTGTAAATTTTTTGCCACAAACATCACATAGATATGATCTTTGCCCAGTATGGGTAATCTTATGTTTATTTAAAGAACTGGTGTTTGAGTATTTCTTACCACACACATCACACAGACATGAATTCTCTTTGGAGTGGATTCTTTCCCCAGTATGAATCATTTTATGTCGTTTTAAGCGATCCTCTCTTGCATATGCTTTGTCACAAATATCACATCTGTAGGGCCTGTCCCCAGTGTGTATCACCTGATGTTGTTTTAAGTTATCTTCCCTTAAAAATGTTTTGCTACAAATATTACAGCTGTACTGTTTCCTCTCAGTGTGAATCATCTTATGCCTTATTAAATTTGATGATGTTGAAAATGTTTTACCACATAAATTACATCCATAAGGTCTTTCACCTGAGTGGATGTTCTGATGGAATTTTAAGGTTTCTTTGCGTGCAAATTGTTTATCACAAAGCTTACAACTGTATTGCTTCTCTATACTATTAACAGCTGGATGAGTTTTTTGATGTGAAAGTTTTTTTGTTTTTTTTCCACATCTATCACAATTGAATACTTTTTTTAACTTATACTTCCATAAAACTATTTTGCTACATTCATCACAAGAGTGTTGTTTATCTATACTTTCAGTAGACTGAGACATTTTTATATAACTCAGTTCAAATGCTTTGCTACAAAGAAAAAATTTTTATGGCTTCTTCTAAGTGCAAATGCTTCAGTAATTCTTTAAGAGAATTTTTGTTTATTGCAAGCATTACAACTGCATAATTTCTAGTTAAACTGTATTTGTTCATTCTTTTTTTTTTTTCACTTTCCAAGTTTTTTCTGAAAAATATGATATATACTAGAATTTTCACTTTGAGATCTTTGATAATTATCTAGTTACACCAATATTGAAATTGCAGGTCATCTGATGGCTACAAACAACTGGTTTTTGATTTATACATTCTTCAATGTCACCATATCTTTACCTACACTTATCAAAACTAATTTTCAGCATAAAGAACAAAGCTGGATTTTGTGTAGAAACCTTCTTTTTCCAATAGCTCCTTATATTGGTCTTTGGATCTATAATAAATAAATAGATAAAAAAATAATTTTATCACAGGTCAGTTTTATAAATTTATATATATATGTTCTCAAATGCATCTGGACAAGTAGTGTTTTTTTGTTCATTCTATTGCAAGATAAACCTTCCTGGTAGATTTTTATGGAACCATAAAGTTCCTGAAAATTGTAAATTGCAGAAGTTTCACACTTATGGATAAACATTTAAAAATGCATATTCAAACATTAAGCCAAAACTATATAAACAAATATACATATCCCTTTAAATCTCAAATCTCCAGTCACACGTAAATGCAATAGAAAACATATTTAACTCTTTCATGCCTACATGGATGCAGCAGTCCACCTCAAGGGCAAAATTATACCTCTGAATTAACATGTTTGCTTAGAGATCAGAACAAAGTGATAAAACCTGCCTTTGGTGATACTTTCCTAGAAGTAAAGTGTTTATGAACAACTTCTGCCAATTTCAATGGCTTGATTTTTTGAAACTTGTGAAACACTTGCTTTATCATTTGGTACTCCATTTGAGTTATAATGCAGTAGTATGATAGGAAAATATTTTACATTGAACAAGATGATGTAGGCTTAGTTAAACTATTTTGAACTCAATTGTATCAGTTTTCCTTTTGCCAGCACAGTCATTGTGTTAGGCTGTTTACATTAGGCCTTATTGACCTAAATAACTACTTGGAATGGCAAATATAAAGAAAAAAGTGATGCAAAAATTATTACATTTATAAAAGAAACCTCCTGATTAACAATTAATAAAAAAAGTTTGCCTGATTATAATTATGGTGTAGTTAAAAAAATATTTTTATTGTAGGCCAGCAATTGTACATTCAGTGAATCTGCATGCTGTTAAAAATAGTTTTATCATATCAAAACTTTATACAAACGTTTTAAAAGAATGTAGAAAGACACCAGTAACTAAAATTTATAACAAAAGTAAATATTTTTGTTTAAAATGTACAACAAAATCTATTTTAATTTTTAAACCTGTTAATTCATAAAAATATGGCAACATAAAAATAACATATTTCATTTGCAGAAGCTATATAATATGTAAACACATAGTCTTCAGAATAATGCATCAGTATTTCCATGGATCTGTCCAAAGTGATGCATAATATTAACCCTCATATGATAGGGTGGGGTCAGAATAACCCACATCAATATACCAACTTAGTTAGAGCTGCTCTCTACCTTATATCTTCTGAATCCTATCCTCAACCAGTTTTTGAGTGTTGAGCAGAGCAAATGTGTTGTTGCAGTTATCTTTCTTACTGTTGTAATAACTTTTTGTATTTTGTGAGTCATTCTGACCTCACCTTATTCTAAAGATAATATTTTTGAAATATATTACCATGTTTCATTTTGATCTACCCTACCACTTATGATACAAATATTTTGTCCTACCAGTTGAGGGTTAAACGTATACTCTTGAACTTTATGGAGCCACCATGCTACCTGGTCTTTTGGATTGCAAAACATTCACCAGCCACTTAAATACTGCATTATCTGTCTTTACTGTACTTTTCCATAGAAGTAATGATGGACATGACTTAGGGCTAGAACAACACTTAGTAGCTCTTTCCAGGTTGCAAAATACACCCTTTTTACAGTATTCATTGTATTTCTATAGCATACAATCACATTCTTTCCAGTGTTGATTTGTGATAACACTGCTTCTTCTGCAGAATCACTGGCATCTATATCTAAAGACAAATGTTCAGAAAGTTGGGTATGCTAATACAAAAGAAGTGGTAATTTCTTTCTTCAGTCTGTTCAATGTTTGACCATAATAAACAGTCCAACAAAACTTACTTGATTTTTCAAGTAACTTGTGTAAAGGAGAGCTATATCAGAAAATAACTTTACCAAACAACGATGGCAAAAGCATGTTTTAAGAAGTCCTCTTAACTCAAACAAGGTCTTTAGTGTTTGTCAGTTTTGAACAGGTTCAATCTTAAACAAATCAGTAGACACTCACTAATGATAATGTGCCCCATGAAAATTACCTTTTGTCAGAATAATTCACATTTCTTTGGATATCACATTAGTTCACTTTCCTCAAAAGATTCAGAACTTTCCTAAGCCTATCATATGCATTATCAATGATCTTTCCAGGAGCAACTGTCTCTTCCAAGTAGGTAATGTAGCAGGTTCATTACACAACACAAGTGATAACACAGTTATTGTCACAACCTATTTCTTGTAATAAAGGCTGTCTGTTCTCAACTTGCACTTGCTAATATCTACTCTACAGATCCAGTGGTGAAAATCATTTTGATCCATATAAAGAATCCAAAGTTGAATCAATCTTTAGCGGTGGGTAGGAATCCTTCTTTGTGACTTTGTTCACTTTCCAGTGGTTCATACAGAAGATTGTAGAGTCATTCTTCTTCTTCACAAGTATAGTCAATGATGCCCAAGGACTAATCCTTGGTTTTATTACTTTAAAAGGCTAATTTTGTTTTTGGCAACTGGGTTAACTGTATTCGAGCTGCATCTCCAGTGTAAATGTTATATTTCATTTGTTCAGTCTAAGTCACGAGATTCAACAGACAATGTATCTTGATATTCTGTGAGCAAATTATGATATTGACCAGCTATAAGACATCCACAGTTCTTGTAAGTGAAGCACTAAACTGTCCTTATGTGAAGATTTGATATCAGACTTCCTATATCCTGCTTCAGAGATTACTACTTCTGATGTTCTTTGATGTGGAAGTACAAACTGTACAGCTTCACATTTTGCAATGTCCCATCTAGTCATGACTCATTTTCTGGTTTGTTATGTTCATGGCCCTACTGGTGACTCTTTATTCTTCAGATCCATAAGAATTATTCCAACCATTAATCCTTCAGTACACACTGGAGTATTTGTTTCTACTACAGCCAAGCCACTAGATGTAAATTTATTCTTATTAAGTTCTGGTATAAACATTTCAATTCTTGGTAGTACAATAACTGCCAGTCTTGTTATCACTAGAAGTTCATCTTCTAGTGTAGTAATTGTCATGTAATGCACAAGGATTTCCTGGTCATAGATTATGTAGTTAGTTAAAGACAGCCTACAGTTTCCAGTATGCACTCTTCCTTGATATCAATTACCAAAACATAATGAGGTGTAAAGAAAGTTTGTATAGTAAGGGTAATTTCCAACTTCCCTTTTGCAAGAATTTATGTACACCTTCTGTCTGCATCACTCCTCCTTATTGGTCTTCTTATGTTCGGCCTCTTTTTTTTTTTGTCTCTATCCTCTAGATTTTCTTTTAGTTTTCTGTCTCCTTCTTCTTGACCTTCTTTTAACTTTCTGTTTTTTATCTTATTTGTCTTTTAATGCTCTGTCTCTTTCTACTTGTTCTTTTTTCCAAAAATTTCATCATCTCCTTCATTCCCAAAGAGATCCAATTTTGTTTCATGATCTTGTTGTCATCTTGAAGTTTAGTCTAAAGTTTTATTTTCACAAAAATAACCCCACTTCTGACACCAATGTTATAACGTATTCTATTGTTGTGGGTTATTTTAGTAAAAATAATACCAAGTGTAGTCCAGGTAACAATAACTAATTAACATATCTTCAAAATGGTATATTGTACCTTCGCTGGTAGGCCTAACTTCATAAATAATGTTTCAACCTAAAATAATGTACACCTAACTTATAAACTTACTTGAAGGTTTCCTACAGTAATCAAAGAATAACAAACATACTGAATCACAGTTGCACAACTCTCACTAACTAAATCACTCAGACTTATTAACTAACTGAACTGATTAACATATTACCTCAATATTTCACTGACTCGTTTTTATATTGTACTCTTATTCCTACATAGTACAGAAAGTTTCTAGATTCTACTGACACCTATCTTCAACGAAATTTCTAGATACAATGTCATCATGACATAATGATTAGCTCCCTCTAGCATTTGTGTAAAACTATTATTACTAACTTATATTTTCAGAACTTGTACTTCATTATCATTTTTGTTATCTGGTTCATACTGGTGGGATTTGGACATCTTCAAAAAAAAAAGTTAGAAAAAAAACAAATGTTCTGAGCAATGTTAAAATTTAAAAGTACGTTACAATAACGAACAATACACAAATGGTTGCGTAAGTCAAAACATTTAAACAGTAAAGATATATAAAATAAATAATTTCCATGAAAAATAAAGGATGATTTTGATTTGTACTTTTCATGGTGATGAGTGTGAAGAGACAGTCTTGAAAGCCAAAATGGTTTATTTTTTCCATTTGTTATATATATATATATATATCATTTCAATAAAAAGTATGGATGGGTGATATCATCATTTCTCATATCAATATAATATTGATACTTCTTTAAAAACATAGTTTAATTCAGGCATTAAAAATAAGGCACATATTAACCTCTGTTAAAAACATTTTTTCACCAAATTGTTAAACAACTGTAAAAAACAACAACATTTTTGAACTACATTCAGTACCAATAAAACAGTCAAAAATTCAGCATATTTTTACATCTTGCAGCTTGCAAATGAAAATAGGGGCAGCTAAAATCATGTCTGGGCAAATAAAACTGACCTAAAATTATGTAAAATACCAATTTTTGTTGTAAAATGATGTAAACATATTTTCTTTGGTGAAATTTATTATAAACCGCTTAACAGAAATTGGCTTCTACTTAACGACAATTATCATGAGAATTTATGGATCAACTGTTATAATGTAAACATTCCATATGAGGCTTGTTTACTTATTTTCAAGTTTCTTATCCAGGAGGTAGCTCACACATAAAACATACAAGAACCCATTCTCAGTGTTGACACTTTTATAGCTACAAAATAAACATCAGCTCAGTTACCATAATACTTCTTAATTATAATCAATTTTTATTTTTAAACACTAGGATAACCTATAGCCTAGGTTGCATCTTTAATTAAAGAGTTAGAAGATATACTACATGTTACACTTAGGGGACAAATCTACCACTTTTCTGCAGATCCAAGCAG